GACATCCCCATACAAATACAGGAAGCACATAGAACACCAAATAGACAAGATTAGAAAAGAAACTCTCCACAATATATCATAGTAAAAACACTAAATGTGCAGAATAAAGAGAGAATACTGAAAGCAGAAAAGGAAAAACAACAAGTCACATATAAAGGAAAACCCATCAGAATTACAGCTGACTTATCAGTGCAAACTATGAAAGCCAGAAGAGTCTGGATGAAGGTATTTCCAGTTCTACATGACAATAGATGTCAGCCCAGGATACTTTACCCAGCAAAAGTGTCTATTGTAGTTGAGGGGGAAAAAAAATCTTCCATGACATGAATAGCCTGAAAGAATACATGTCCACAAAACCAGCCCTTCCAAAGAATACTTGAGCAATACAGAGAGCAGAGAAACAGGGGCAACGAAAGAAAATAAATAAAGGTATAATTGAGGAAATACAAAATTATACACAGAACACAAACAACAATCAAAATGATGGCAACCAATACACATCTTTCAATAATAACCTTCAATATCAATGGACTGAACTCCCCAGTCAAAAGGCACAGGTTAAGTGAATGGAAGGGAACTGACACTGATTCTAATTATTCCAACGGCTATAGAAATACCTGAAAGCAAATCCTGAATCCATCATGCTAGAGTCCAGCTTTGGAAGACAAAAGAAAAATGAGGAAGAACCCAATAGAGGGCCAATAGAGGGATGTCTTTGGAAGCCCCTGTCAAGAAATTCCAATGGACTCTCATAGGAACATGTGAAAATTGCCCTGTTCTGACTTTTTTCTAGTTCCCTGTCTAGAGCTTGTAATGCTAATTACTCTTGCCTTTATTTCTCCTTCACATCTCTTATTCACCAGTTCAGGACTTCCTTTTCCCCCTACAGTTAAGAGTTATGCAATTTGGGAGTCTTTTAGATAGACCCACTAAAGGGGTACTCCAATTGCCTCACCATGAATCCCTCTTCAGCATGGAAGAAGCCAGAGTAGTCTGCGTCCCTATTCCCTATTGACAATTTGGGTAACCCCTTTAGAGGATGGTGTGATAAGAATAGGAGGTAGGAACTGGCTAGGCAGTTAGGGTAAAAAGACCCCAAAGAACAGTAGCCAGCTACTTGGGTAAAAGTCAAAATGTCCTTGGGACTGTTAGTAACATACTCTGTTCCAAAGGCCAAAAATGTCAAAAGTATTTGGGAGCTTGTATCTAATCCTTAAAAGGTTTTAGGGTTGCCTTTTCAGAGGGGGAATGTTAGAGTACCCAAAATCCCCATAAAAATAAATAAGTGAAAGAAGAAAAAAAAAGAAAAGAAAAAGAAAAAAGTGCTGGGGAGATATGGGAGGTGTTGGAAGGGAGGGAGTGGCATGGAGTTGATCAAAACACTTTATATGCATGTATGAAATCCTCAATAAATTTTTGTAAAATTAAAAAAAAATTTATGAGTTTAAAAAGTACAATCAAAATCAATTTTCTTAGCATGTTGCAAACAGGAAAAAAAAAAAAGGAAAAAAATCCATTTCTTTGCTGTTTGGAACCAACCCATTCCCCTTTCAAGGGCAGGTACTACCTTAAGGTAAAAGGATGGAAAAGAATATTCCAAGCAAATGACACTAAGAAATAAGCAGGGGTTGCAATTCTAATACCTGACAGAATAGACTTCAGAGTAAAACTAATCAGAAGAGATTCAGAAGGTCACTTCGTTCTGATCAAAAGAACATTTAACCAAGAAGATATTACAATCCTTAACATATATGCACCAAACTCTGGCACACCCAAATTCATAAAAACAACACTACAGGGCTTTAAGACACAGATTAAC